GTGGGGGGGTCGAGGGCGGTGCGGGTGGTGCTGGGGGGGTCATCCAGCATAAAGGCCTCTTTATTCACGCCGGACAGGGAAAGGAAATCAGCTTCAGAAGAAAAAACACGCCAGCACATCTGGAGTTATTACAAGCCCGCCGTCTTGCCAAGAAACTCCGACATTCCTGCAGCGCTACAAAGCCGCGCAGCTCCCACACACGCACACACACGCGTTTTCCACCCGAACACGCTACATGCACCCCAACCCCCTCCCCGAAATGACACAACACATGCAGCAAATTAATGCGCTTCACTTCCTGTTGACCTTTGACCCTCCACTTCCTGCCGTCTCCCCGAGAAGCAGGAAAAAAATAACAGAAAGCCAGACGGAGGCGGGAAGGAGAAGAAAGTCCCGCCTCTTTCTCCTCTCTTGCTCCTTGGCTCTCTCACTAGTAAAGTTAGTTAACAGTCCTCTGCCACGTCAAGCCTGCGAGTCACTGCAGAGACGAGACGCTCGCCGACAGATGCTGATTTCGGGAGACGCCAGACGGATGTTAGTGGATGCAGTTTTATGATTTATTCGGGAACATGGAATGATGGGAAAAAGCGATGGTGCAAAGATGAAGAGCCTTTGAGGTCCTGCAGATGCAAACTGAGAAAATTGAGACCAACACTCGATAAACACCTGGACTCGCTCGGCCACAGGCTGAAGAGGAGGATGAGGTGCAGTATCTTCATCTTTTAATGGGGAATCTCGAGTTTGATGATGTATTCGGTTTAGAGGCGGTTATTATTACCAGCTGATCTGATGTTAATCGCACAGCAGTGTATAAAAGGCAGATGAAAGATTTATCGGTTCGTACTTAATCCATGTACTTTCTTTAACGTGCAGCAGAGTTTTAGGTGATTTCTATGTGAAATATGAAACCGCAGGCAATGCATCATCACTCTCCACAGGAAACAGGAAGTTTCCAATCAGAACGCATCATCATCTGTGTGTCTCACCTCCACATTCTGCCTGTTTCAGACTCCATCACAGCCTCATCAGACTCGCACTAACTTGCACAATCACATAGCGACCGCAGCACAAGTTTGGTGCGCTGCGACGACTGGTTTAGTTGCGGACGCCCATCCCGCCTGCCCAGTGTTCAGACTACCTGTTCAGGAAGTAGCGTTTGTACAGTAGTCTGCACATTGGTTAGGCTGGACGGGGATGCTCAAGACGGCCCGTCGCCATGACGACTGCTGAACACATCGCCATGACGACAAGAGGAGATCTGCATGACGACAGCAGAGCACACTACTGATGTGAAGTGACTTCACGAAATCATCATCTATTCAGCGTGTAGTGATGTCAAAGAAAGTATGAAATACAAAATAAAGTATAAAATGATACTAATGCAAAGTGTGAAGAGTGTCACTTTATCTTAACAATTCACAGTGATGTTTCTCCTACAAATTCAGACACAGACAATAGTTGCTAAACAAGAATTTTGAGAAATATCTGAGTTCATATCGAGATCTCTGCATTTAGACTACAGACTTGGCAAATCTCTGAGACACTGTCGAGATTTCTTCTGAAACTCTGGTACTATTTCTCTGGAGAAACAGCTCAGATATGAAAGCGATTCTTTTTCTTATGCATATTCATCTGGATCTGGTTAAATAAGATAGATGGAGTGAGTCAGTGAGAGAGAAACAAAAGACCAAAAGATAAAACAGTTTCTCAATGGGTCTCATATGAACATCTTCAGGCTTGTCGTTCACACGCTCTCAAACATCCAGACAAATGAAACCCAGATAAACATGTTTCCACTTAAGACGTCTCCTGGATCACAGTGTTTCCTGATCCGATGCCTTTACACACACATACACTGCAAAAGATGTTGCACTATATGTCAGTTGTAAAGGTAGGAAACCTGTGTTTTGCATATGGTTATGGTAAAACAAATACATTTTAGCAATAGGTTTGGGTTATTTTCATTCTCATTTCATTTTCATTCAGCTATATGTCCTCATTTAGAGCGAGTGTGTGTGTGTCTGTGAGAGTGTGTGTGCGCGTCTGTGAGAATGTGTGTGTGTGTGTCTGTGAGAGAGTGTGTGTGTGTGAGTGTGTGTGTGAGTGTGTGTGTCTGTGAGAGAGTGTGTGTGTGTGTGTGTGTGTTTGATTGACAGGCCTTTGAGGCCATCAGGAGGGTTGCTGGTTCATATGCGTCCAGGTTTTTCTTCATTCATGTCTTTTGTGAGTCACTGGTGCTCGATCTGCATGTGTGATGATAGGAAGCAGATCCAGTATCACCAGCGCTGCCTGCTTCCCCCAAACCCCCGAAAACAAGACGAGAAGATGAGGGAACTCGCTTTGTGAAAAATCAGGGTAAGCAGAAATACATCTGCACTGAGATGTCAGGAGGAAGTGATGTCACTTAGACGCTCGTTGACCATTTAGACAGAGAGTGATGAGCGTCTCTCTCGACCCTCATGTGATGTGTGTGTGTGTGTGTGTGTGTGTGTGTGTGTGCATATGTGAGTGAGTGTCCATTTGCATTCTCTCATATTTGCACATGTATACATACTCTAGTGCACAAGTGCCTGAAATAGCCGTATTATATAAGAAACACTGGTCTGTCCTGTCCTAGACCTTGAGGATTCGTCATGTTCAAGTGTTTCTGCTGCTTTCTGAGCTCATTAGTGACTGTTTTACTTCTGAGTTGGACTGTGTTAGTTTTGGGGCTCTGAGTGCTGGGAAACCGACATCGCCAGCCCACGATAAAATAAATAGACGAGAGAGAGAGAGAGAGAGAGTGTGTGTGTGAAGGAGACTTTGTGTTCGCAGACAGATGAAAGTGGACCGCAGCGCCCCCCTCGCTGTCTCTGCCCCACATGCTTCTAGTTAGAGTGACCCAAACCAGCGAACCACACACACACACACATTTCTTTGAAAGTCAATGGTTTTATGAGGAGCAGCCCTCTCTTGGCGAGTGTGTGTGTGTGTGTGAGTGAGAGAGTGTGTGTGTGTGTGTGAGTGTGTGTGTGTGACAGGTCAGGCTTTGGTATGCACATGTGTGTGCCAGCTTTACACGAGACGCCTACCTAGACAGCACTCTAAAGTCAACATGGAATCAGAATGCACTATAAATAAACATGTTTATTCACTCTTTATTCATCAAGGACGCATTAAATTGATCAAAAGTGACAGTAAAGACATTTATAATGTTATTTCTATTTCAAATAAATGCTGTTCTTTTGAACTTTCTATTCATTAAAGAATTCTAAAAGATAAAATGCATCAAAGTTTCCTCAAAAATACTGTGCAGCACAACATTGATAATAATCAGAAATGTTTCTTGAGCAGCAAATCAGCATATTAGAATGATTTCTGAAGATCATGTGACACTGAAGACTGGAGTAATGATGCTGAAAATACAGCTGCGCATCACAGGAATAAATTACAGTTTAACAGATATTAAAACATATATTACATTGTAATAATATTTTACAATTTAATGTATTTTTTATAAAATAGCCTAAATGCAGCTTTGGTGAGCATAAGAGATTTCTGTGCGTTAGTTTAGTATAACTAAAATACTTTAGTTTTTATTAATATTTTGAGATTTTTTTTTTTAAATTTTAAAGTTTTAGTTCATTTGTGTTTGTAATTTTTTCTAATTTTTTAATATATATATATATAATATTTATTTCAATTTTAGTACATCAAGTTCAACTAAATGAAAATAAGAAATGTTACAATAAATACTAGCTGAAATAAGTTTTTTGTTTCAGTTTATTTTATTTCAAGTAGGCCTAATGAAAATGTGTATATGAGGTTGACATGTTGCCCATTAACATGCTGGCTGTTCACTAGCCCTTCCCTTCATATAAATATTCACTCCACCAAGTGTGACGATCAAAACGTGCTTGACGATTGAGTGTAACGAACAGCATCATCCTGTAACCTTTTCTTTGCTTTTCCTTTCTGAAAGCCTGAGCATGTGTGGAAAGCCGTAGGCGGCATCATCAGAGAAGAGCTCTCGGCAGGTCCTGCAAGCGTCATTTAGCAGGAAAACCTTCCAGTGCTGGAAAATATTCCAGCCAAAAACACGCCAGGGGAAAAAGAGCGTCAAGTCAGCAGAAACCGCCAAAACGGGACAGTTTAAAAATAACCGAATTGAGATCATTTCTTTTCTATAGCGGAAAACTGATATAAATAATTCCACATAAAAGTGTGGCGTTAAGGCTGAAGGGAACGATGATTGGTGAGCAACAGCCGCGATGGCGCCGTTGTTTGAGCGAAGCACACGGGACGTTTCGAGGCAGCGATCCAACGTAAATCAAGACAATGTTGCTTTAGCTTTGACGTGAACGATCCGTTGTGATGCAGTCGTGAGACTGAAGTGAGACAGAACCGAGTTCATAAAAGCATCGAGCCTGAAGTGTGTCATTTTTTGCATGTTACTCATCTACTGTCTTAAAGTGTCTTATAAAACGGATAGTTCCGGTCCTTGATTCTGATTGGCTGAGCCACGTTCGAAGCTGTTGTAAATGACTCTACAAAGTAACATACAGCTTTGTTTACGTTTGTGTGTTGCTCGGCAACCACTTTGTTGCAACCACAACTGATTCTGAGGAGCTACATTGTTTGTTGGGGCTTATTGCTTTATTAAAAGTCACACATTTGTAGGCTGATTGCTCTAAATGTTTCAAAACCAGTCTGTTTGAGCATCTTAACCGACCCGACACAGCAACAGTCGACTCAGAAAACACGTCTCACCTCATCATCCTTGTACCAGGACAGTGATTCGGCCGTCAGGACAAACCAGTACTCCTTAGCTCCGCCCTTCATGATGCTAATGTTATTGATGGTCAGCCAGCCCTTCCTGATCACCTGAAATACATTAGCCATGAAATACTGGTTTACCGCTTACTGCATACTGTACATTATAGTATATACTGCCTTCTGAAAAACAACGATCTGTGTGCAATGATAAACACTTATGAAACCAGAAACATAATATAAGTGTTTCTGCAGGTCTAAAAAAAGTCTAAATTCACCCTTTCACAATTTAAAGCCTTAAAAAGATCTTAAATTAGAGTCATGGCATTAAATGTTGCATGCATTGCAAAAAAAAACAACATTTAAATTAACATCCTTAAATCAAGATATATTTACTGGAGATGCAAAATGAAGAAATTAAGTCTTCTTTTCTGGGAAATGCAACAAAATTAAGTTCACTGTATGCTTAAAACAAGAACAAATATCTATCAATGGGCAATGAAAACTAGTTTCCCCTTTGATTGAATTTTTCATTTTTGTCAGATATTTGTTCATTTCATCATAAACTCACTTCAGTTTGAACACTTTTACAAAAAAACAAGACTTTGCTTCTCAAGTAAATGTTTGTTGATTTGAGAATCTTTAAACATTTGCACTGGAAAACAAGAGAAAAACAAAACTTTTTGATCAGAAAGTACACACTCTAAAAAAAGCTGGGTTGTTTCAACCCAAGTTTGGGTCAAATATGGACTAACCTAACTTTTGGGTTAAAAATGTAATTAAAAAATGTAACCCAACAGCTGGGTTAGTCCATATTTGACCCAAAGTTGGGTTGAAACAACCCAGCATTTTTTAGAGTGCAGTAAAAGTTATTTCCATATTCTAGTATTTTTGGAGCAAAGCTATTCAAGTCTTAAAAAGTAATGGAGAACTGTGTTTTCAAACTTTGAATTGTTGCCAACAACTCATTGAGCTACATTTACATAATGTAAATGAGACCATACTGACGTATTGTGTGCCCTTCCATTTATTTCTTACATTTTCTTTACTTAGTCTTAAAACGTCTTAAATTTACCTTCATAAAACCTACAGAAACTGATAAATGTATATCAATGTATTCAAGCAGTACATACTTCACATGTTCTTGTAATATTGTAAGTTTCCTTCAGATGTTGCTATCATTAAATCAGATGTTTTTATTCAGCTAGATATGAACATAGTAAGAGTTTAACAAATTTTAACTAACTTGCTCTTGAAGATTCTCTACAAACATGTGTAGTGTTTTTATTCATGTGTAGTGAGGTGTGTGTGTGTGTGTGTGTGTGTGTGTGTGTGAGTGTGTTTCTGGATTGTTGTACTGTGACTCGCTTCTGCCTCAAGTGGACAGATAAATAAATACATCACTAGAAACCATTTAGCAAACAAATCAGGCTCTTCTCTATGAAGTGAGCGCTTATATAAAGCTATAATACAAATTATGATATAATATGAATTATAATCTGTATTTTATTTTCTCTTCTGTTCTAATCATGAATTGTTAAGTGAAACAAGTTAAATGACACATAAGACGTTTGAGACAATGAAAAAGAAAAATCTAGTTTTAAACACATATAGCAAGTTCTCTGTATACATGTTGGTTTTCTGTTGTTTTTATTTTCATACCATTTTCAACAAATGATTTAAGTTTTTTATTTACTTTTATTTATGCCATTATATGTTATGATTATTAAGGACATTTTCACCATAAATTCTCATTACTGTAATCTAAAAACTCTTATTATCATGAAACTCGTGCAAAAAACAAATGATTCTTATTGTTATTAAACTCATTACACTACTTAGAAATATTTAAAATAATCTTTCAATTTAAATCATCTTTATTGTATGTATCCATACATGTGTTTAATTGTCGAGAACACAGTACCACAATACAAACAAACAATTAAAATAGCCCTAACATTTTTATACAAAATCTAATTTCTTAATTCTTTTTATTTGGGGGTGAATTATGGCCAGACACGTTCTTGACAGGTTTATCTCATCTTAACACTGAACAGTAGAAAAGCTGCATGAAATACTGCACTGAATGAGTGTTTGGACTTAAATAGAGAACACGCTTGTGGCATGAAGATAAGAAGCAAACCCTCTGTAGTGCACACTATACAGTCATTACGCTTGACTGACATCTTCAGTGGCTTGCATACGGCTTCAGGGAGACACGCAGAAATGAGTTTGATTGTGCAGTGAAAGCATCTTATGCAACCGCTGAATACAGACTCACAGATGTAGACTAGACGTGCATCACTGATGCAAAAGCATGCAAGAGTCCAGTCTTCATGAATTACTGGGATAAACACTTGTGTAACACGTATGCTTTAGAAAACACACAGACGACTTACCATGATTTCATCCTGATGCACCGGAGTAAAACAAGAATAAGAAAAAACATGACAGAAAAAGAGAACACGTCAGTATTGAAAACACAACTGATGCTGTAAAAGAGTATCAAATATATCAAATCGTAAGTGAATCACGACATGTTCTGCGATATATTTTAAGAGAATCAATGTTATGCTGTATTGTGATGAGCATCTGCTGGGGCTCATGTCTCCAAAACACATTTACATCATCTACTGATCAATGCAATGATTATGATTATGATTATACAAGTCTCTCTCTGAACTAAAGATCTGCATCTCCTTATGATACGGTCATATAACGAGTCTGTGCACAGAACCGGAGTTTACACAGTAGGGCTGTCAAAAAAAAAATCGAATTTCGAATATTTGTCGAATTAAAAAAAAAAAATTCCAACGGTTTTGCATTCGAATTTAAAGGTCCCCTGAAATGCTTAGAAACACGCAGCATTACTCTGTGTTGACGTCATTTTAACTGAAACAGGAAGACAGGGCGGGACATATCAAGCAGCCCCGCCCCTTTTTAAAATAGCCAATAGTGTTCGTTTATATCACAGTTTGGGCTAGAGCCGTTCAGAGCCTTTGAGCTCCGTAAAGCCGCAGGGTATGCCAGCCACAATCTCATCCATATTGCTATAAAATATAACATTCTGTGTAGAATTCAAATAGCTCCAATATTTTCCCCCTAACTGAAATTATGCCTTTTAAATTCAAATATAATTCGAATTTTGATTATATTTAAGTAGAAAATTCGAATTTAGTTTTTCAGTCATTTTGACAGCCCTATCACACACACAAACACACATCATGCTGTCACTCGCTGCCCTTAACAACTGAAGAACCGTCACACAGCAGCTCTGACTGCAACACGAGGCTCTGGGTTCAGCTCCGCCTCCGTCATCAGCATTCATGAGTTACCATTTCTGGCATTTAACTTCAGATTTGATCACACTAGTATCATGTGAACACATAATGTTTAAGTCAAGTGGTGGCACTTTCAAAACAGTATGAATTTTACTGTTTACTCAGCATATGGTGACTAGGGCTGGGCGATATGGGCAAAAAATTATCACCATAAATGTCAAATCTTTATTTATTTCAAGTTTAAAGTAAGATTTTTGCTCCAAAGTGGAAGTTGTTGAAACCAGACTGTTAACTTTCCAGTTTCTGCATGTTTTAATGAGCGATATTGTTTCAAATCAAGAAACAGGTTTGTGTTGCCTGATAATATTAATAATAATATTACTTGTTTGTCTCTTAGAAATGCACATTTGATAGTAGTAGCTTGAGAGGATGCAGATGGTAATTTTTGTTCAGTATCAAAATCAGTAACATCTGTAAAAATTGTAGCAACCTCATTTTTATATGGTGAAATTTGATTATTCAAATTATTTATTATTATTTTTATTAATCATTGGTCTTCCATAGTAGCATACATTTAAATCATGATAATCACAGTTAAAGCCACACATAGCACCTTTACCATTGTAAAAATATAACTGGTTTTTAGGTATTTTATGAAAATGCATTTAGTATGAATGCAAACATGCTATTGGAGCTGAACTCGACTGAACCCGGAACGTTCCTGTAACGTCTGATCTAAGATCAGTTCTAAGATGAAGCTTGTACTTGAACTGAGAGAAGCATGAGAACAAACCTGGCCCTGGATCAGTTGATAAGGGCATGAAGATAAAGAATAAGAAACACAGATGAAGAACAGAGAGAGGCAGACGCTGGACACACATCAGATGAGCACGTTTAACGTTCAACACGTGACATGACTCAATATGCACAGAGAAATTAATATTGTGTTTAAATGATGAGTATAAACTGTAATTCAACCCCTTCACCTGATTACCAGCCGCTTTCTTCTTGTTCATCTGACTGCTTCTCTGCTGGGCACTAAACAGGACAGAATTGAACTTAAATCAGCTTAAAATCAGTTATATACATACTACACAATACATACGGTGGCCAAAAGATTTCTTAAAATGTCATTGGGTATCCATTAATATTAATTATAAATAATAATAATATTTTATTCTTATATTATATTTATTATTATTTCTAATTACTATTGATATCATTTAATGTTAGTAATAATATTAATAATAATTATTATTATTTAAATGTATTAAAAAGATTTAAATATTATTTAAAAAATATATTTATTTAATATTAATATTATTATTTATAATTAATATTACCATTTTAATAATACTAATAATAATATATACATAATAATTATTATTTTCTATTATATATTTATTATTTATGATTAATATTGTTTAATGTTAGTAATAC